CCAGCGGGCTTCACCCCTGAGACGAAGACGGGGCTGCAATTCGATATGGCAGGTACATTAGATTGGGTATAAATGAGCAAGATCCCACCTTCAGACTATACATCATCCAAAACCAGATTGATATAATCTCAGAACTCCACAACTTGCCTTGGGTTGTCAAACGAGTCCCAGAATGCCGTCTCAGGGCTCCATGGAAACTGTAGTATAAAGGCGGGAAGGTAAGAATCTCGACCTTCCCAACTAAGAGCGAGAGCAAAAGACAAGCTAAATATACATCTCAAAGCATCAGAAGGGGTTTAATAAAAAAGCAGCAAACACCATGACCAAAAGATCCAAAAAAAAGGCAAAAGAGTTCACCCCCCCCGGTGCCGAACTGGGGGCTACATCTCTAGCGAAAGTAGTTGTTGACCATTTACCAATTTCACCACCCACGCCACAGTTTTGACCTGACCCCCGACCTAGAGGGCGCCTGCTGTGCTGGTGACAAGAATGGGATTGAAGGGGGGTATATACCCTTTCAGCCTCGTCGCGGGCTGTGTGTCACGTGTGGTAGGTGTGAGGCGGGAGGGAGGGAGGGAGGGAAGGTATGGGATGAAGGTGTGGAAGGTACGGCCGGCGGCTCGCGCCTGCCTGCCTTCCCCTCTACCGAGTATGTGGCTTGGTAGGGACCAAGCATGGATCGTAGGCTTCCTCGAGGACATAGGCAGACCAGCGGCTTCATCTTACCTTTAGTACCTGACCTATCTCTTGCGGGCTCGGCATCGTTCTCTCGGCCGCGACTCTGCCATGACCGTCCTCAGTAGAGCATCTTTCGAATATAGATCATTGATCTTCGCTCCTGGATAGAGATAGGACGAGATTCTCACACATGGGACATGATTATGGTCAGACACATGGGACACAATCATGGTCAAATGGTGTCTATAAAACTTGGTGCTACCCGACGCATGTGTACAGCTTCGTTGGCGAATGCAATCTACAAAAAATCTCTAGCCACCCAGCGAAAACATCATCTCACAAAGAGGTTACGCTACATCCGTGACTCGAAATCGTGATAGATACTGTGCGCCTCCATCGTACAAGAACACTTCCAAGTCATTCATCCACTTCATTCCTGTCCCCTTACAACGCCCGTCAGACCACCAGCAAGGCCTTGCATCCTCCTTCCCAACAAGTCATCCGTACTCTTCAACTTGACAAGGCTTGCGCCAGCACTCTTACTTGCGCCCCTCGCGCGGCCATTCTTCTTCTTGCCACTCGCATCGGCTACAATGGACTCGCTCTCGTCCATGGCCTGCGGCTCCTTAGTCAGGGTATTCTTGCGGTTCGCCCTCGTCATGCTAATCTCCAGCGGCCTGTCCTCGTCTCCGCTCGACTCGACGCGGTTGTGGTGCCGGCCCTCGCTATTGCCGTTTGTGATCGGTCCGCCGCCAACGCGTCTGCGACTCCGGCTCTCCCTCTCGCGTACAGCATCGGCTGAGGCAAAGATCTCTGTGATCCATTCCGCTGACCGCTCAAAGTGCTTCCATGCCGGCGGGTATACGGTCGGGAACTGCAGGAAGCCATGGGAGATGCCGGGAATCAGCATCACCTCGGCGACGTCCTTGGGATTGAAGACGGGCTCGAGGCCGTCGCCAAAGTCGGAGCGCTCGGATTGGGCTTGGTCGAACATGGATTCCTTCACCTTGCGCAGGCGAGCTGAGAAGATAACGGTGTCGTCCACCAAGGGGTCTCGCTCGCCGGTCAGGAAGTAGACCTTGGGGAAGCGCGCGAGAAGGGAGTCGGGGGTAAGAACTGGAGAAAGGAGATAGTCCTTGCTGAAATCGGGTCGGTTGTGAGGACCAATGTAGAGAATGATCATGGCGCGCATCATTTCAGGGGTGAGCACGCGATCGTTGAAGTAGGAGATCATGGAAGACATGGCGAGGCGGGTCCGAAGTGGTTCGGAGTGGTGGGACGCACTCTGCTGGCGCTTGATATCCGGAGCTGAGGATTCCGCATTGGACATACTCTGTGGACCGCCATGCGAAAATTCGGGATGGGGGCTGGCGAGCGCTTGTTGCGAGGCGATCTGGACCTCCTTGGCTGTCAGCTCGGTTGATTGTTTGTTGGAGTCCTCCTCGTCATCAGTGTGATGAGGAGTGCCGACGAGGTCGTTGTATTGCATGCTCTTCCTCCTGATGATCGATTGGTTCGTGCTTCTCATCCTTCTGTCCTTCATCAGTGACATCTGCTCGTCTGACATCCAGTTGCCAATGTTCATATCGAGGGCTGGGTAGAACAAAACCAATCCGTCCGGCAATGGAAGATCTCCGGTGCTCGAGTAGCGGCGCATCGGTACTGACGTCCGCTCTACAATCATGAGAGTTGTTGCAGTAGCCAAGTTGCCGCCAGCGCTATCGCCCGTAAGCACGATTCGGGGTGTCTCTCTTCCAGACATGCCGATGCACCTTCCCTTGCTGCGAATGAGCGTAGTGTACACGTCAAAACACTCGTTCAAAGCAAAGGGGTATGGGAACTCGGGTGCCTTTTTGTAATCCAGGCTGAGAACCGGCATACCAGTCTTGGATGCCCACGCGAATAGCTTGTCGTCGTTGCATCGAGGATCCATGGCAACGAATCCACCACCAGGGATATCCAAAATGATTCTACTGTGTCGCACGAGATCCGTCAATGGGCCATCAAAGTAGAGCCAAGCTGACACCGGCTCCTTGTAGTCACTACCAGTAGGCCGGGGAATGCGGATTGCACGAGGCGGCCAGCGGGAGAAGCGAGGCCGCATCAGGCCTTGGAAGAACTTCAGGTACGGCGTCGTTCCCTTGTCCCACGATACGCGCAGATGCTCTACAGTCAACATGCCGCGCACCTTGCGCACCTTTTCGTCAGCCTTCTCGGCGGCAAACATGTAGAATACGGAGAAGACGAGGCTGGCCAGGTCGCGAAGCCACTTTGCGCGGATCTTCATGGCAGTCCAAAAGCCGGCATCCAGAGCGGTCAATATCCAGGTTGCGCGGAAGTAGGTGGCGTCGTACATGTTGGACATGGGTTCGGGACTCGCGAGGCCGACCAGAGTGCTAAAGTGTCGGGCTGCGTACAGGTAGATCATGGTTACAACTACAGTCTGCCATGTCGTAAGGCGCTTCGTCGTGAGCTTGGAGAAGAAGCGGATGACGGGAGGGCCATGGGGGTGTCCTCTGCGAAAGATCAAATCAGCTCCTATCGCGATAACACTGCACAAGATTCAAGATGTCGTGTGTTACCTAAAGATGTATGCCGACCAGAAAGCCAGCACCGCCAGCACCTGAAGGCGGCGCGACTTGACCGACGGCCGTCCCAGGACGTGGTCTATCATGGCGACTGGTGTATGCTACGATGGACACCAGAATAGTGAACAATGTGTGAAGGAAGGGGTTTGTAGATTCCGCCGCAGGGTCATGAGAATCTAGGCACCGAGGACAGCCGGAGGCGCGGCTGACCAAGCGAACAGCGCAATACCACGAGGTTGTGGCTGGGGGACAATGGATGGCGTTGAAGTCGTCGACGGGACGGCGCAGCGCGAGTAATGCGATGGCTCCAGGGCTAAAAGGCCATGGCAATGCGTCCAGGCAGCTCGGGGAAGCGCTTGGCGAGCACGGCGAGCGAAAAGGTGCAGCGACGGAGGGCTCGACACCACAGATCGCCACCCGATAATGGCCTTGGTTCGAAATAGAAGGCCGGGGAGGTTCCGGTTGTTTTGGATCGTACACGTTTGGGGAATGGTTGTACACGAGACGGTACGAAGAGCTAGAAGCCGAAGATGATGGGTAGTCGACTGCTTGGAATGAATGACGGTATGTTTCGCGACGGATCTGGCGGAGAAGAATAGTCGGGAGTCGAGAGCTGTCAAAGAAGACTGCGATGGGAAGAGGAGCAGCAGCAGCGACGACAACGGCCGACGTTGCTCGTGAAAGAGGGTCCTTGACCAGGGTACCGGCGGCACATGTTTCAATGTGAAAGCGGTCGAGTGAGTGTACTGTGTGTGCCTCTCTGCGTGGGCTCGGTTCAATCGCTGGCTTCTGAGGTGAGATGGTGACGTTTGTTTGGGTTTGGGGGGGGAAGGGCAGCTGACATGTGAAGAGGCCTAAACCCACCTTTTGCGTGGGTGCTCGAGTCAATCCGCACGGGGTAGAACTGTTAAGGTGGAGGGTACGGAGTAACCTTGGAGGGGCACGCGGGCAACTGCGGCCCCCGCCGCTAGGCTAATTTGGGGTCCTCTCCGGATCCGACACCGAGGATATCCAATCACGCGGCGCCGGTTGGCTCTTCTAGCGCTGTTCCCTTGCCGGTTTCACTGCTGGCAGCCTGCTGAACCGCTGTCCAACTCCACTGAAGATTGTTGTCCTGCAGGGCCCTCAACCGCGCTCGAAACCTGTCTGCAGTAAGGTTACCTAAGCACCAAGGTAGACCCGCCTATCCCCGGATTCGGTAGAGTTTCTTCAGGAATGCATTCGACGTCCACATGACGAGCTACGAGCCCACGGAATCCCGATGCAATCCGGCATCCTGAATAATTAACACCGGCACCCGATATGTCGAACTTCATCACTGCCATTCCGCAGGTTCAGTACACGACACTCCGGCCTGGAGGAATGGATGACAACAAACTCCTCCCTCAGCCTACGCAAACATCCGCTGCTTTGCGGTAGCACTTATGGTTAGGACGCCATCTCAATGCTTTCACGCTACGAGAAGAAACACATTCGAGAAAGCTACACTAAAGATCTTCTTGAGGCGTCAGCCTTATTACCAGTCTTCGATGCAATGTCCTGTACATGTCTACCTGCCAGGTCACCCGCGATCACACCATCGTGTAATTGGTCAAGATCTCATGCATGAGATACTTACATCAGCAGGCACGCAGGTCACCAAAGTTGGCTCAGCTAAGGTACCCGACGTATCAGGCAACAACACTAAGTACCCCTCACTCAGCCTGATTGCTAGGAGAAGGTTGACAGAGACCTTCAAGCCCACCAACCATATCATTCTGGCATGTTGTCAAGTCAATTGGACGCTGGACGACCAGATCGATTTTCGTAGCAAAGCCCATAGGAGCTCGCGGGCGTAAACATCTATCATTTGCTATGCCATGGACCTATTCCAGTACGAACCCCTAGACCTCACGGGGAATTCCTTCAGGCTTCTCATGCTTCATCCTGGATCAACCGGCGAGATATCATGTGATATTTTCGAAGCAAGTCTAGATCCCGACGGCATCATTATACCCTACGAAGCCTTGTCATATGCCTGGGGCAACATTGAGCTATCGGCCTCCATCACCGCCAACAGCAAGACCCTCCGGATCACGAATAATCTGTTCACTGCTCTGAGTTATCTCCGAGATGACTCTATCGGAAGGGTCATGTGGATTGATGCTATCTGTATCGACCAGAACGATGTAGCTGAGCGAGGCCATCAGGTCGGACAAATGGCCGGTATCTACAAAGGAGCTGAACAGGTCCTTATATGGCTCGGCCCTCCCACGTCTGAGACGAAGCTTTTGATGGAGTATCTGAGAAAACTTCAACAGGGGTTGATTCGCCAGAAAAGTCATCATGACCTCACCTGGGCGGACGAGAGGTGGTCGAAATTGCGACAAAGCTCCGATCTCGACCAGGCAGTCCTCGCCAATCTGCAACGCATAGGAATCATTTCTCTGTTGAGCGAGACGTGGTTCACAAGAATATGGGTTTTACAGGAAGTATCCAATGCGCGTGCAGCTTCGGTCTGCTGCGGAAGATGGTCTGTTCAGGCTTATATGCTGAACATCGCTGCGAAGCTCGTCGGCGTCGTTCCGGACGATGGGTGCCAGGCTGTCATGGATCTATTCCCAGGACCAATGACTCGGAGATCTCCAAGGAAGAACATCCTTCAGGATTTATTGGAAAAGTTCCGGAAAAGCGAAGCCAGTGACCCAAGGGACATGGTGTACGCCCTACTTGGCATTGCTTCCGACGTATCGGAAAGCGACCTAGGATCGTTGCTGTTGCCCGACTACTCCAAGACAGAGCAGCAGCTCATCCGAGACCTCAATTGGTATCTTTTCTTCGATTCGCCAGGCCAGGAGGTCGGGCATGATACAATGGCATCGTTTCTTGAGATGTTACCCCGGAAAACGGGGGCAATATTGAGAAACTTCGTACTTCATGAGCATACGGATCACGTCCATGCACTCCTTGAAAGAGGTCATCAATTCACTGTCAATGAGACCATTGTCAACGAAATATTGCGTAGAGGCATATCAAGTGGTGTGAGTATTCTTTTCGATCTAGGATGCATTGAACACCCAAACCTGAAGTTTGTACCAGAGTCTGTACTAGAAAGCTCCTTGAGGTTCTGTGACTTGGCAACAGCGAAACGGCTTCTGAGCAATCAAGAAGAAAACATAAAGATCAACCGGGGATTTGTTGATGGCTTGATCAACTGGCATGACCGCGAATTTTACGTGCTCCGGATTCTGAGCGACCGAGGACGTCACTCTCTGGAAGTCACACAAGACGGGCTCGTATCATTGCTGCCGTACTGCGACCCGATCCTTCTCAAAACGCTTCTTGAACAGCAGACAAAGGTTTACCGTCTAACACGCGGAGTTCTCAACTCAGCCTGTCAAAACCAGCAAATGGCGAGGATCATCGATTTGCTTCTAGAGTGTATAGGTGGCAGAACGGAACTTGAGATGAGCGGGCTCTTATGGTTCATGGAGGATTACAGCTATGATGAGCAGAAAGTGGCGGTGTTGCTGAAGCACCATTTCAAGATTATCCACATCTTTGCTATTGGAGAAAGCCCCGGCGAGAGTGTCATCTGGTCTTCAAACGTCACATCTGATTCAGACTTGCCAGAAATCGAGATGGAAGTGGAAGACACCAGAGGGGATATGGAGTGCAGTGAGGTATTGGGAGTTCGGAAGTTTTCAATAAAGGCGCTTTTCGGCAGCGGAAGGCGGGCAGGCGCGATCTTGGATTGGTACAACTACGATTATTCCATAGAATAGGTAGCCATGATCACCACTTTCCTTCGTACTATATAGTTAATGGGTTAAATGCCAGGTGGGCTTGGCACAGTTAAGCAACACGTTAAAGAAGTTAAGTCGATGTAGAGGCTGTTTAGGAGATAAAAGTCACCATCCGAAACAAGTATATGACGGGGCAGAGTCATTCCAAGACACTGGCATTTCTCAAATTACAAAGGTCGAAGTGAATTGAGATGATACAAAAAAACACGTGAAGAGAGGCAGGAGTTAGCGTGAGGGTTGAAAGCTGATGAACTCTTCGATCGAGGCTTGGCTGTCAGTGCTCACATATGTGTATATCATTGTATTTCTCCTGACGAATCACAACGGCAGTTCAACGCAACATGATATTCCATCACAACAGCCCCTTCGTGTCAATTGGCTAGATTTACCTGCAGGAAGCATGGCCACACTGCGGCAAAGTCTGCTGGCGAACCATCTTGCAAGGCAACTGAATACGTGGGCGACAACCATTCATCAACCAAACCCCCTCTGCCACGAAGAGAGCCCCGTGGTGAGCTCGTGACTTGGGAATAAGCCTTGAACAACCCCACACTCCAACGATTTGCCAGACCGGGCTGTAATCAACGCAAGCAAGTCTTTCAGCAAAACTCAAGATACGCAATTCTCGTCATGGAAGCGTTCCAGTACGAGCCTTTGGATCTTGGATTGAGGTCATTCCGACTCCTCATACTCTATCCAGGAGGCGGCGATATCAGATGCGACATATTCCAAGCAAGCCTCGAGCCTGACGAAATCATCCCTTACGAAGCCCTCTCATATGCATGGGGTTGTACCGACCTCGTCGAAACCATATCCTCTAGTGGAAAGAGGCTGTTCGTCACAAGAAACCTCTTTTCAGCATTGAACCATCTCCGCACCGAGTAAGCGAGGATACTCCGGGTGGACGCAATTTGCATCGATCAGAGCAATCTTGCAGAGCGCGGCCACCAGGTCGGACACATGGCTGGCATCTACAGACAGGTGGAGAAAGTCCTCGTCTGGTTAGGGCACTCAACGCCTGATACCAAATTTTTGATGGACGCCTTGAACAAAACACGGCGAGAATCAAAGAGTTCAAGAGGCAATATCTCATGCCCAGCTTCGTTATTGGACCCAGTTTTAATATCTGGTGATTCCAATGGGCTCCGAAAGGGCTCGGAGCATCTCTTGGAACACCTGTGGTTCACGAGAGTCTGGGTGCTGCAGGAGGTCTCTTACGGTCGAGTGGCTTTGATTTGCTGTAGTCATCACTCCATTCCAGCTCACATCTTCGTTGAGGCCACACGACTCGCCGGTATCAAGCTCGACGACCGCCAACAAGCCTTACTGGACCTAATGCCGAGGCCGTCCAACAAGAGATCAGCAAGGAAGAAAACTCTCTACACCCTGCTGGTGCAGTTTCGCAAGATGGAAGCAACAGACCCACGCGATATAGTTTACGCCTTGCTTGGAATAGCATCTGATATACAGCAAGATGCCACGGCACAGCTACTTTCAGCAGACTACCTGAAGAGTGAGGAGCAACTCATCCTAGATTTGAAAACCTACCTTTTTCTAGGAGGAACCCAAGTTCGGCTAGGGTACTGCCCTGACATGCTTCTGTTCCTCGATTCCTTGCCTACCTTGGCCAACGACACATTGGTCGATCTTGTCTTTGCTGATCGCATGGAGGACGCCAAGTTGCTGTGCGATGGGCATGTTTCATTGGAACATGAGTTCAATATCAAGCTTCCTGGAAATGATTTCAAGATTACCCAAAACTTTATCACAGCGATCCGTTAAAGAAAAGCGGTTAAACCCCAGGGCTTTACATCTACGGTGATGACGTCGAGATCCAGATCGCATGCTAGGCGCCTAGAGTACGCATTGCAACAGGCTCAGGCCACCGGATTGCAGGAAAAGCTTCTGGAAAGACTGGAAAGACTTCTCAAAGAAATGGTATATTGGGGTATCCCAATTACACAGGAAGCCTTGATTGCAATGCTACGCTGGATGGGACCAACAAGAAGCACCGAGATTATCGAGGGCCAGTGCGAAGTATTCGAGGTCGATCAGAAGTTAGTGGAGGAAATCAGGAAAAGCTTTCTCCACGAGCCAATGCGCCGTTGGATTGAAGCTATGATAGACAGCGACAATATCGACTTCGGATTTGACGTTGTAGGATACTGTCGTCAGTTCGAGGATAAATCGGATAAGAGTTGGTCACATAGCGCGTCTGTCGCATATTATTACGGCACGCAGCCAGGGGTTGGAAGTAGCTTGCATTCACCTCACTAGACCAAAAAAGGAAAGCAGTTTATACTGAGAGAATGTAAGTTCCACGTGATGAAGCACCAAGTGGCAGTTCTCAAGGTGCTGATACCGTTCTGTTTCTTTACAGTGTCTCTGGCTTTTGTTTCTCACGCGTTAGATGCATGCTTTGATCCGTAAGGTTCCTCAATTCCCCTCCAGGTATTAATGGATACTGCTTCTTCCACGTTGTCAAATTTAAACGAACACATCATAAGGTAAGGTAGTTTACATACCTTAGCTAGGGTAGAAAGTGACCTGATCCACGTCCAAGGGACAGTCTCCGTTAAAACGACTTCTTGCACCAGGCATTGGGTATCGCAAGTGAGCGGCATCCAGAACGAACAAGGGAAGCTGTTCATAGGTAGGAGGATATCCCATCTATCGCGGCAAGACATCAGTATAAAGGTAAGTAATCTCGTAAGGGGTAATACCGAATCATAAAATAATCCCATCTTAAATTCCTATAAATACATCAATGAGATTTTTTTTCAAACCAGAGAAAAACAAGATATAGTTATATTGACGTTATGCTGCGACAGATAGGATAGTAACAGTCTGGCGCGTAGTGTAAATCACACAACCTGAGAAGTTTACATCTGAGGTAGGTTGACGACCCCATAAGCAAGCCCGTAAGACAGCCGTTTCAAGACCATCGGCAGCTCGTCCGAGCCCGACCGAGATCGGAGGGATATCCCCGGGCCCCAGCGTACGTAACACCGGGAAGAGTGGATCTGCCCCTCCAAACGGTGCAAAAAGTGGGAAAATGCGCGCCTTATCGATAACAGGATTGACGAGTCACCTCTGTGCATGCATGCGCGAACGGCCCAAATTTTAACTGACGACTTCTCTTCAACACCATTCTCTTTTGCCAGTCTTTTGCCGCAGAGCCCTGTTTATTGTTCAGGATACCATAATGGCGTTCCGTGCTCCTCTGCGACTCCAATTGGCAAAGTGCCAGCCCCGCCTGGCCGTCGCCTCGCGCATCAACACCCGTGCGCTCTCTTCTGCGGCCGCTGCCGCCACAAACGACTTCAAGAGCAACTTCGGCGTAAGTGATCACATGAATTCACGAACTGTTCGAGTGACTCACCACCAGACTAACACTTGCAACTGGTAGAAGCAATCTTCAGTACCCAACCCCGATCCGACCGAAGACTCCCCGAGCGCCGCTCTCGTCCGCGAACATGCGCCGTACATGGTCGCCACATACGCCCGCCCGCCTCCCGTCTTCGTACAAGGCCAAGGTTCTCTCCTGTGGGACGTCGAGGGCAAGAAATACCTCGACTTCACCGCTGGTATCGCCGTCAATGCCCTGGGACACTGCGATCCTGAGCTGACCCAGATTCTGACCGAGCAGGTGGGTAACTCCGAGCCGCCGTGAGTCATTTTAAGACTATATGCGCTGACAGTACATGGCCCAACCTTACAGGGTAGCACGCTCATGCATGCCTCGAACCTCTACTACAACCCCTGGACCGGCGCCCTCTCCAAGCTGTTGATCGAAAAGACCCGCGAGGCCGGTGCTATGCACGACGCCAACTCGGTCTTTGTCTGCAACTCGGGCTCCGAGGCCAACGAGGCCGCCATCAAGTTCGCCAGGAAGGCCGCCAAGGTTAGCCAGCCCTCGGGCGACAAGTACGAGGTTGTCTCCTTCAACAATGCCTTTCACGGCCGCACCATGGGCAGCTTGTCCGCCACCCACAACCCCAAGTACCAGGAGCCCTTTGCGCCCATGCTGCCCGGCTTCAAGCTCGGCGCCTTCAACGACATCGCCGCCATTAACGAGACCGTCACCGAGAAGACATGCGGTGTCATCGTCGAGCCCATCCAGGGTGAGGGCGGCGTCACGCCCGCGACGGACGAGTTCCTGATTGCTCTGGCCAAGCGCTGCCGCGAGGTCGGCGCCGTTCTCATCTATGATGAGATCCAGTGTGGTCTCTCCCGCACCGGCACGTTCTGGGCCCACACTCACCTCCCCAAGGAGGCCCACCCGGACATCATCACCACCGCCAAGGCCCTCGGTAACGGCTTCCCCATCGGCGCCACCATCGTCAACAGCAACGTCTCGGAGAAGATCAAGGTCGGCGACCACGGCACCACCTTTGGTGGCAACCCCCTCGCTTGCCGCCTGGCCCACAACATTGTCTCCCGCCTCGCCGACCCGAGCCTGCAAAAGGCCGTCGCCGCCAAGGCTGAGATCTTCAAGACCCGCTTCGATGCCCTTCGCGAGCGCTTCCCCGATCTGATCAAGGAGGTCCGCGGCCGTGGCCTCATTCTTGGTCTCCAGCTCACCCAGGACCCCACGCCCATCGTCAAGGCCGCCCGCGAGCGCGGTCTGCTCATCATTACTGCCGGCACCAACACTCTGCGATTCGTGCCCCCGTTGACCATCACCGAGGAGGAGATCCAGCAGGGTTTGGATATCGTTGAGGAGGCCATCTCCGTCACCCGCTCATGAGAGCATGATGACTTGCTACTTCGCAACTTCATCTGATGAAAGGATGTTTCGATCCATGTGATTAATTTTCGTTTGGCGCCGGCGTTTAAAACCTGACGACACTTAGACCTAGATTCCAAACAACGTAAGCAGCGAAGCGTTGTCGTTCTGAGGAAGCAGTTGCTTCCAGGCTTACCGTGTTGAGAGATGGACTTGCCGAAAGCTTGGATTTGTTGAATGAAAATGAATGAAACTTCAAATTAAAGTGTGCCACAGGAAGGTGCTTCTGTCCTCTTCGATCCCCTCTTCGATCCCTCTTTCAGTCCTCATGCTGGTGATGGCATCGAATGCAACTCAAGGCTAGCTTCCAAATTCTGTTTCTAATACCCCATTGGCACCTTCCTCACTCAGAAAACCTACCATTGTTAACGGAGCGGAAGGTGCGAAGAGGCAACAGGCCCACCTTCCCTCGAGAGGTCTTCACGACCACCTTCTCACGGTATAAAAACCTCTCAATCTTCCACACCTCTCCGTCTTTCTTCCTCCATAACAACCCACGACCCTGAGCACTCGATCTTAGCCTTTTCATTGCAGCGAACTTTCGATACTCGATCTCACACACCAACCCCAGATCGACAAAGCTTCTTCTAGAAACTATCATTGAAAATACACCGGCACTATCTGAGATTTTCCCTTATGATAATTAGATACTGCGTGGCGCTATCCTAGGCTCTCTGCAATCAAACGTAAGTCATAGCCACTCACTAGAGATACCTATTCCATCACACTAACGCATTTGAAAGATGGGGGAAGAACTCCGAAAAAAATTCAAGGATGAGCAAGAGAGTCGATGGCTCCAAGAGCTGAGTGGAGAGTCCAAAGATCGTCCTCTTCACGCTGCCATGGAGGACATGGCCAGTCGTCTTGTCAAAGCTCTTGCACAAAGTGGCCCGGGGACTCTACAAAGTTACCCAAAATCTATCCGACAGCTCTGCGATCCCAACGTCAGGCTTTTGGCCAACATGGAAGGCCCTGGTGAGATCTACGAAGGCGTTGACGAGATCCTCAATTACTGTGCTGAGCACGGCGGTAAAGAGTTCATCTCGGTCATTATCGTTGACCGTCTTCGAATCACCTGCATCATGGACTTCCTATCCAACCCCTTTGTGGTTGAAGGAGTAGTGGCTCGCTTCGCGCAACAAAGAATCATCATCATGGACATGAACAGTGACTACAAGTTCACCCGAATCGAAGTGAGATGCATAACCCCTGAGGTCCACGCGTATGGGCAAGACGACGTTCAGATAAAGGTGGAAGATCCAGAGGAATGAGTGCAGACCAAGCAACACGGCTTGAGGCTGTTGCCTCACTCACTACACTTGAATCACTTCTTGGTTGCTCAAAGGACTCGTGGTAGGGGAGATGAAGACATGGAAAGGGGGAGAGGCAGAAGGTCCCGACGGCAGGGCCAAGACTCAGCAAGAACTTGGACATCAGCAGGAATATGAACTGCGACTGGCACACCCATAGAGCTTAGGGAAACACGACTCCTTTCAGAGTTAGGGTTCTCTTGGCCACATGTGCTCTGAAGATAAGAGCTCATATAGATTATAGACCGTGCCTCAAACTTTCACACCTTCACTCAACGTGGAATCCCACTATGGCAGTCCTCTACTGAAGTGACGGACGTTTGCCTAAAGCGCCACATAGATTCCGTTCTAGTCTCGGAAGTCCTAGACATCCATCCAGTGGCCGCCTTTCGGAAAAGCCAGTCACAGTTGATGACTACTTCCGTTATGCTAAGGTACCTCACCTCATTCCTGGGTGAATGGCAAGACCAGTGAAAGTTCCGTCTCGAACCTCGGAAGGTGGAGGTCAACCTTGAAAGATGGGTCTCGGCTAAATTCCCCTCCCGAGAGGCGGGGCCGATCTTGCCGGGTGTCCCTGCGTTGGCGCTTCCCCCACGTTTTGATGTCCCCTCCTTCCACCTCACCTAAGGTAGGTACGTAACTGTCAAAGCCGTTGGACTTCGGTGTGACGAAACTCTTCTCGGTGACTACTCTTGAATCCTCAGGAATCCTCCTTCTTCATCATGCTTTTTCAACCCAAGGTAACGATAATCGGCCGCGCCCGTTTACGTCTCGAAGCATCTGCCATGTCAAGACATCAAGAATCGTGGAGCGGGGCTTCCTTGATAGCCTCCAACCTACTTGCTCGAACGAGTCTAGTTGAAGTTCCAATCGACAACTATCGCGAACACTCATTACTCGGTCGCGACTAATCACCTTGCCGAAATCGCCCCGTTGCGTTGGTAGTGTGTCACCTTGCTACCGAGGGTGATGCCGTGTCATTGGGTCATCTCACCGCATCTTCCCCCGAGCTCAAGTCCGGATCTTCGTCCAGTGCCTATTCCAGTCGAGGGAGAGCATGATAAGACCAGCGAAAGAAAAAGTCGAGACGATCTTGGCAAAAGGGCCAGACGGCCAAACGGAAGGCCCTCGAAATCCGACGGTCCAGCTGTCTTCCAACGCCAGTCTTACCTAAACGCACGTCAGCGGCCACCCTCGCCCTGGGTATCGATGCTACCTTTCCAGCCCTCCCTTCCCTTCTCCCAGGGAGGGATGATTCGCAACTTTGCTGGGTCAAGACGACAAGAAACGGCGGAAAAACATGGGACCAGAACAAAGCGCTGTCAGAGACCTGCCATCTACTACAGCCAAGCTCAACGGATACTTCCACTTCAGTCTACCACAGCGAGTCTTCCATCCCGCCATTCGCCCTGCCCAGCCCCACCAAACCACACCAAACGTCAGTCGGTACATTCTGAAAAAGCTTTGGAGACCATCGGTGTCCTCCCCTTCCGCTGGTGTTGCGCACAGCCCACCCTGTTGTTTCGAAACTCGTCCCCTCCCACCCCCATGGGCAACTAGAGATCGGACCCAGCTTCACTCTTGAATCAGACTGCAGCCAATCGCAACCGGCCCGCACTACGATAATCCGCGTCGTTATAGGATTTTGTCTGCCCCGTCAAGTCGTCAACAGCACTTTTCAGCCCGCCCAGGCTGCGGGACGGAAGTTTGGAACGCAAGGCACGCACACCAAGCTTTCAAGGGGTCCACCTGTTTGGCTCAGCTCAGCTTGGCGGATTACTCCTGATCATCATCATCATCTGCCGCTGTACCAGCGTACCGGCCTACGATTTCTGGAGAATCAGCAAAGTCCGTCCCTGGCTCCCCCTCTAGTGTCGGGATCAGGTCGATCCCACGTGAGGTCCCTGCCTCTGATCCGCCCTCTTTACCCCATTGGGATGAGGTTGCGGTACCTGAAGCCGTTGTGCTGCAGGAACGTCCTACACGGAATAGGCGAGGGAAAGAAGCTTAATGTCACCTCCGTCTCACCGGCCGGCTAGGCGATTCGGGTGAGGAAACAAGGAGGATCTCACACTACCTCCGCTATAAGAGTACAACGGTCGCTGGCCACTACCCCATCTCATGTGACGACGACCAAGAACCTTGAATAGTTGTTGATCCAACTTTCAGCTAGCATCGGATAATCCATATACACTCCTTACTAATAACTTCCCAACTACAATAATCAGTCCTTACAATACCAGCACACAAAATGCACAGCTCAACAGCAGCCTTCCTTCTCGCCCTGCTGGGCACGGCGAGTTCCTCACCTGTCGCGATTCAGCCCCGCCAGGCCGACTTCTCAGGGAATCAGCAAGATGGTCTCGCCGCCGGGTGCCAGTCCATGATCGTCATCTTTGCCCGTGGCACCACCGAGGGAGGCAACGTTGGTTCCATCGCCGGCCCGCCGTTCTTCCAATCCCTGGCTACTCAGGTCGGCGGCAGCCTCGCCGTGCAGGGTGTCGAGTATCCCGCCGATATCCCCGGCTTCCTGGCCGGAGGCGACGCCAACGGATCCCAGATGATGGCCACTCTTACCGAGCAGGCCATCACCAACTGCCCCAACTCAGCCGTCATCATGTCGGGATACTCCCAGGGTGGACAGCTCGTCCACAACGGCGCTGCTATGATGCAGCCCGGCATGGTGGCCAAGGTTGCCGGTGCCGTTATCTTTGGTGACCCGCGTAAGTCATGCCCTGTCATATCTCATTACTCCATACTAATCCCTACTCTCTACAGTCAACGGACAAGCTGTCCAGGGCGTGGATGCCTCCAAGACAAAGGTCATCTGCCACAACGGCGACAATATCTGCGAGGGCGGCAACCAGATTCGCCGCGCTCACTTGACATACGGCAACGACGCCGATGAGGCCGCCACCTTTGCCGCCTCGATGATGCCGGCTGCCGCGGCCCCTGCTGCGGCTTAAGAGGGACCTCGGGAGCCTTCTCAGAGTTGACCTCGGAGGCTTTTTTTCTTACCCACACTCTCTTTGTATATACATATCGTAAATACCTTTTTTGTGTGCACAAAAGCCCAAGCCAAACAGGCTGCACTCATTTGTTTACTTACATAGTACCTATTGTTTTGTGTGGAGATTTGTAATGTGGAGAGACGGAGAGAAGCGTGTGTGCCTCGTCTCAGGAGCGAGGTGTTGGGGGGTTGTTGTGATCATCATTGGCATAGCTTAGCATTTGCGTAGCCATAGTAGTATACAATCTAGACCAATGTATCGTGTGATCTAGTCCTGCTTGATCAAGTGAGGGCGAGGGGTACCGTCCTAATCGCCAAATATAGACCCGCTGTTGTACTTGTACGATGGTGTCGGCTCCCGTGACAGAGTGCCTGGGTGCTACCCGGCCTGTTTCAGCGCTACGCCAAATCAAGAGAGTCTATATGCTGGGTGGCCTGATGAGCGAAAATGAAGCCCCTGAGCGAGGTATGGGAAGGCTTTTGTCGATGATGACGGTCAGCGAGCCTCGAAATGGATACTGGTGGGACTGTGGATTTTCATCCAGCTGGAGGAAATCACCGCTGCGTCCAAGGGTTATCTACCCCGCCGCCTGATGGCAAAGTTACATAATGTTATTAGTTGATGATGATTACACGTACCGACATACTAGGCCATGGGTATTATCTTATGGGGGAGGTGTCGATGATTCGACTTTCTACTTCCAACTCATCGATTATGCCAGACCATATGCGTGCGTACTAATGTGTGCGGCTGTTCTCCTGATCAAACATTTCAAAGAGATAGATAAAGCCGGTTAGAATGATGACCAAGAGAAGATATGGTTATCTTCATCGTCGCTCCCGGCATCGGTCCCGGCTTGGGCTGATGACGGGACAGTCAAGGGCATGAGGTTGTAGTACCGTCTTTCCGACCACCGAACAGCGAACGAGAACCTCTCATCCGACCTGATTCTCGCAACCAAGCCGAACATTTCCTCCTCTCCATCATTACTTGCCTACAACCTCGATCCCCGCCCCATCCTACTCACCTCCGAACCCTAACAACAACAACGCATTCCCACCCCATCCCCCCAACACCCTCCATCCTCTCCTCCTCCCAAACCTCAACGTCCTCCGCGAATGGCTCAAGCGCACCCCGGAAATCATCCCAATCCATCCGCGGACCGATATACACCACCTTCTCCACGGCCCCTTTCGCGCTGGAAGCAGCAAAAGCCTCCATATACTTCCTCACAAGCGCAACCTGCTTCGGATACACAAACATCCACGCCTTTGCATCCCTCGCAGCTGGGTCGAGGGCCCATGTCCCTGGCACGGTACGGTGGTTGGCGTGGTATTTATTTGGGCTTGGGGCGATTTCGATGCTGGTTAGGTTGAGCGACCGATGTGCATCCTGAGAACCCGGAGGAGCACCAGAAGCCAGGGGATCTTGGTCCTGGGACTCGGCGAGAGAGTCCAGCAGAGCCTCAACAAGCCCTGTCCCACTACCAATCGAGAGCGTAAGGTCCGGCGCGGGCGGTAGTTGTGCGTGTAGGGCTTTGATGAGAGGGAGGGAGAGGGTTAGGCAGGAATCTGGGTGGCGTTGGGGCTGGTTTGTGAGGATTGGGAGGGGCGCGGGTGTGAAGTTTGATGAAGGCTCTTCATCTTCGAGGAGGTCTTCATAGTCGGGACCCTCGGGGTTGGCCAGCACAGCATCGTTGGCTTCATGTCGGGTGGTGGCCATTTCGAGTTATTGAGGGTGCGGGTGAAGTAAACGGGGGTTAAAGCCGGAGGGGTACGGAGCACATCGACCGGGTCTGCAAGCTTCGATGCACCCGTGCTGCACGTCAGTTAAAACGGCCCCACCAAATCACGGATCCACCAAACCTTACCTTAATTCTTAGTCCCGGCCCTCCTTCCGGAGCTGATGGAATATAATTATCACGTTCGACCTCACATTAAATGCAGTGTAGGCACAGTGGAATTTCCGTGCGTGCCCACCGTATCGCAAAATTTCCCTCAAAAGTCGGATCCAGTTTACGTCTACTTTTGCCAGTTCAGCCTAAGAAAACCACGTTATATATAGAGGGGGGGAAAAAGAGTTCACCACCGGTGTGGCTACATCTCTGGTGCTCATGCTGGGATTCGAACTCGGGTACTCGCTAAGCCTGTCGTCGAGTAGGCTGGCGGGCGTTGATTGTTGACCTTAGACCACTCCACCACCCAGCCAGTTTGACCTGACCCGTCGACCTAGATGGGCGCCTCCTGGCTGGTGACAGGAATGAGGTTGAAGGTACCTATATACCCTCAGTCCGTCGTGTATTCCCAAGTGTGAATACCACGTTCCTGATTCGCTACAACATTCACACTAGCACCCAAGATCAATATCCATTTCAATAAAATATGTATTGCTTAGAACAAACAAGCTAATGCGACAAAGCTCCGGAGGACCAGACACGGGTCCCAACTCCAAGTCGCGACTTAGACTCGCGAGAATGATGCAAACCCAGAACCGTAGCCACTAATCCAGTTTACAACTATAGAATGTACACTTTCCTTTCTCTCTTTTCCTGTCATCTCTCTGAGTGGATGCTGTGGACGAGGATCATCATCTCAGTCTTACACCTAGACGGCACTGTATCCGCCTCGGCCACCGCTGGTGTTCACGGTGTTGAGCACGTTCCTAGTCCAATCCTTCACCAAGTAGGGGATATCGCGAATGGTGTCTCCGTGCGGTAGAAGATCCCAGCCCCTAGCGCCGTATCGGTTGTAGTTCAGCCACGAGCCGAAGATGAGGTATGCGGCGATACCGAGGAAGGCCCTGCAGAAGAAGCAATGATTAGCCAACGCGCCCAAAGGAAACAGCACGTAGATCCATCAAACTCACAAGACAAAGAGCCAGGTGAAGAAGCCCCAGTGGCTGCTCGTGTCACCACCACCACTGCCACCCTCCGCAGGCGGCTTACCGTACGCGTCCTCGCACGCGTACTTGGTATGCCACGTCAACCTCAGCACATCCATGTCGTTCTTCTCGCTGGGACCGTAGCTGTTCCAGATCAAAGCCGTCCCATTCATCACAATCTGCTTCTCGTCGGGCGAAGGTCCGTCATCTTCACCCTCCTTGCCCTCCTCGCGCGCCCTGAATTGGCTGCCGTCGTACTGGTCCTCGGGCTTGACCTCTCCCTCGAGACCCGTCCTGTCGCGATCGCAGAGGAACTCGATAATGGCCTTTTGGTTCCTGCCGTTCTTACCCAGCGGGTACGAGCCTCCGTTGAGGATCAGGCGGACGCCCTCCTTCTTCGCGTCCGAGTTGGAGTCGCTCGACTTGAGGCGTTCTGCTGTGGCGTCCAGTTTGCTTCCGCCGTGGTCGCCCAGCTCGCCGGCAATAGGTATCACTTTCTCGACTTCGTCCTTCTTGTCGCCTGGATGAATGTTGCGTTCAATGGCACATACTGTCCAGACACGTTAGCTATGTCCTATTCGAGCTTGCTAGCCTTCAATCATTCAACTACTTCGCAGGCAACATACCTCTTGTAAAGCTAGGGCATTGCTCCTCCTTCTTGACGTCTCCTTTGCGCTTCAGAGGAGCACAGATATCAACGGTATAAGATGTGTTGGTGAACGTGGGTGGATGCCACTGGCTGGTCACGACGCTGTGCGGTCCGCCTAGCGCCTCGAGGTTGAATGAGACGTCGTCGACTCGGATGTGTTTGCAATCGAGCATCGCTGCCGCAGGCAGAGGTGCCAACAGCAGTGCCAGCACAAAGGCTCCTTCGGCCCGCGGTAGTCGAGGAAAATGCATCGCGGGAGAGCCGGCCAAGCGTTTCTCTCGGGGATGGAAACGGGGGACCGTCTGAGCTTCGATTGGGGGTTTCGGGGGAGGCGGATCTGCTGGGGGCTATCCGCACACAGATCAAGATGGGAAAAGCTTAGCAAGCAGAGCTCCTGCAAGATTGCGTAAAGTAAGGTATTGAGAGGAAAAAAGGGGGGACAGGTAGAAAGAAGAAGTTTTAGTAACGTAATGAATGTGGTTCTGGACGCTGGGCAGGCAACAGAAAACGGGCAGGTCACGGCGTGTCGTTCATGTGGCTTGGGAGACCGAAGCAAGTGGACTGTGGCAGCGGGTGGATGACCTCGTTTTGGCTGCTGCTGGGAGAATGGGACCTGACCGTATTGGCCAGGCGGCATTTAGCTCGTTGCATCATCGTCATGCCGAAGATCTAGCGAATCACGTGCAGCACCATGTACCTAAACGCGTGGGTCGCTGGGGGAAGTGGACAATGAGCACGGATCTGGCCGCACTGTCATCGGTCTGGCTGACATAAGCATCAGATCCCCAATCTCACCTTGCCTCCTCACCTTGGCACATCTTGGCACACCTCGGCTACACCTCAGCTCACCTCAGAGATCCATCGGATCTCAGGTATCAGTCCATACATACCCCCACTCAGCTTCGTCGAGTTGAACAGCTTGGCGGTCCCAAAATCACTCATCACCAGCAGGCACTGGAGCATGATAAACTGGTTTGATACTCTGTACATCAAATGATACATGAGCTCGCTTCCGCAGAGCCTTGAGCTGCTCTGGTGGTATGCACCATTCCGTTCCCTCCTCCATGACCCGTGAAAAGCAATTGCCGTCCATCCCTAACCGCACCTCGAAGGATAAGGTAAGTACGCCTTCGTAGGGGTATATAAGACCATGAGAGATCAAACAGCCAATCCGTCCCTGAAGTCCCCAGACGCCAAAGTACCGTAAAAGACGCTCACAACCCGTTCCGTCCAAACCGTAGTCTCCTAATCATTCGTCCCGCCCCCTCAACTTGCCCACAATGTTATTGTTGATCCGTAGGGTGATCTCGGAAGGCGTGTTCCGCATAAATCCGACTCGAGCGGCAACGGCGATTCCCATTCACATGCTGATGCGATTGGTGACGGCATGCATGGCGTGTGTTCATACGCCGTATGAGAGTCGCTGGTCCCAGTGTCGGGGCCGGAACCGGGCCAGTCCTACATCCCAGGCCAGTCCTACATGCCGTGAGGTCCCATCATACCGCCCATGCCCTGCATCTGTTGTTGTTGCTGCTGCTGTTGCTGCTGCTGCATCATAACTTGATGTGCCCTACGCTGGGCAAGGACACTCTGAATCTGGTTTTTGGCCTCCATCATACAGTTTCTCTTGAAGGCCTCCAGCTGCTCCGGCGGGATGTTCTCAACGGCACCACCCCACTTGGCAGCAAGATTGGCGATCTGCTTGTTGTAGATCGCTTGCCCTTGCAGCTTAACTTGGTTCGTCAATGCGTTGTTATTGTTCATTGCTTGCTGCTGCTGCATCTGCATCATGGCCTGCATGTTCATGTTCTGGCCATTCATCATGTTCTGACCGCCGCCGGCCATCTGGCGCTGCATCGGGTTGCTCATTTGCGCCTGGATTTGCGCTTGAATTTGTGCTTGCATTTGCGGCGTCATTTGGCCGCCGTTCATCTGGTTGGCGCCCATCTGGCTAAGCTGCTGAGCGTATCTCTGCGCCAGCTGCTGGTTCATCATGTTGCTCATGTTGCCACCCATATTGCCGCGCTGTTGTTGCTGCTGTTGTTGCTGCATCATGAGTCTGTGTTGCATCTGTTGCTGCATGTACTGTTGTTGCTGCGGCGTCATTTGCTGGGGGTTCATGTTGCCATTCATAATGTTGCCCATGCCATTTTGCATCGCGGCAGCCATTTGCTGTTGCTGAATGGCGCGTTGTTGTTGGGCAACCTGTGCGGCAATCATATTAGGGTTATGCCCGGTTTGTGGCATGGCACCCGGAGTACCCATCATGACGTGCTGGCCCATTTGAGAGTTGGACTGCATCATGTTGGGAGGCGGGCTTGCCTGGTTCATACGAGGCGTTGCAGCGACTGCTGGGCGAGGCACGGGCGTTCCCTGCATGTTTGGCGTACCGTGCTGTATGCGCGGGGTGGCGGCCTGGTGACTCTGCTGGCTGGCGCGAGCAGACATGCTGTGTGCCATCGGGACTCCACCAACGTTGGGGGGATGGCCTTGAACGGCTGATGGTGGGCGTGGCGGACTGTTGGCCATTTGAGAGTTATTCTGCTGCATAGGCACAGCGCCGGGCATAGGAGATGACATGCTGTGGGGTGTGCCCTGTCTGACGACGGGAGACACAGGCGGCTGTGATGCTTGAGAGAAGCGTGCCTGGGTTTGAGCCGGAACGCCATTTGGCATGGCACCAGATGTGCCGTTTGGCATAGCAACGTTCGCCTGCTGCTGTTGCTGTTGCTGTTGCTGCTGCTGTTGTTGTTGCTGTGCCAGGGTTGCCGCTGCGTTTTGATTGTTTTGGGCGGCTTGGTTCGCAGCAGCCTGGGCAGCCATAGCCCGTCTCTGGGCCTCTCTCTGCTGTTGTTCTTGGCGAGCTTTGAGTTCCTGGGCCATTTGATGTTCGCGCCGCATCTTCTCTTGCTCGGCCTGGCGCTGTGCCGCAATGACTGCTTGCTGCTCTTGCATCTGTTTTTGCTTCTCTTGTGCAAGCTGGCGTTCCTTCGCAGCCGCCTCGACTTTCTCTTGCTCCTTCCTCTCCTCGTGCTCTCTTTTAATGTCGGCGATGACCTTGAAACGCTCGAACCTTGGCTCGAATGTGGACACAGCAGCCTGGCCTTCTTTGTCCGCTCCGTTGGCGCCACCTTGCGCGCCATTGGCAGCCGATGAAAGACGCTCGTCCAAGATAAGCATGTATCTTTCTTGTCCTGCTGCCGCAGCCTCGTCGGCAGCCATCTCTGCGACGGTTCTCTTCCGGGTCTTGGGTTGAGGAGGCGAATCCGAATGTTGGGGATGTGCCAACGCATCGAGCAAAGCAATAGTTTCCTCGGTATCCCGAGTTGGCTCCAGAAATAGCGGAGCGTTGGTCGCAAGCAAGATCTGTGATTCTGCTTGGTATATGTTGCTTGCATCAAGCTCCATGCGCTCGCGCTTCTGCTTCTTGGCGGGAGGAGGCATGCTGCCTGCAGTAGGGGTTGGAGGCAGCATAGTAATCGGCGTTGACGGAGGTACAAGGCCAGTGCCGTCCACGTTTCCTGTCGCGCCTCGGGGTGTTGCAGCCTTTATCATCAGGTCTGCCTGAAGACTTTCAGGCGTAGGGTGCAGAACAACAGTGAAAGTCTTCGGCTTTGAGGGTGTCTTGCTCTTTTGGCCTTCACCAGGCAGACTAGGCGCCGGCATGCTCTGCTTATCCTTCTCCTCTGTGGTCTTGGGTTTCGTGTCCTCCTGCGTAGCGGATGCAGCATCGGGCTGCCCACCGAGGGACTCTTTGGGATACGGAACGTATGGTGAAGGGACGATATACGGGTTGTGGTTGTGAATCGAGGAAGGCACAACCTTGCTCGAGGCCGACGTCGGTCGCTGGACTTCCTTAGATTGTGCGACAGACTTGTGATCGTGCACCTGTACAATCAAGCATCCCTCGTAGAAAGGGACACCCGCCTCTGAGAAGTATTCGATGAGATCGTGAGGTACGGTACGCTCCCGCAAGTGCTCCAAGAACAACCGCATCGGAGATTTGTATGGGAAGATGCCATCTTGCTGATCGAACCGGAAATGCGTTGCGTGCATGTGTACGACGAGAGAAGGTGCGTTGCCTGCGAACTTCTTCAGGATGTATTCATCCGTTACAACTATAACCTGTCAGCATTGCGATTTTTGATGATTGCGACGAGTCCACAATCAACTAACCGTATGGTAACGGTTCCGATGGCTGGGCGGCTGCCATATCGCCGGCGAGTGAAGCCGACCGGAGTCCCACGCTGTTCCTAGAAATGCGACTGCCTTGGGCTGACTGTTCGCGGCGCGTGCGATTGATAGGCCGCGCTGATTGCGGATTCGCACCATTCGTTGTCGCAGAGTTCGGGGGCTTCTTTGTCGACATTGAAGGCGATGGCGATGATCGGATAGAGCTCGCTCCATTGGTTTGGATGCCAGGGGGCACAGGACGCTTAATCTTGGACGCGACAGAAGGCGGCTGGATGGCCGTCACGACTGGCGCCATTTTTGCCGGATGGGGCGGCTACCGGAGCGCAACAGGCCAGAGATGGCGTCGCGAGGCTATTCTCCCACTGTCGAATGATGCCCGGAGTTGTGTTACAGAGCAATCATTGAATGAGATATTCGGCTCGTCGATCGCGATGGAGTTCGTTACGGGGGTGGTCGAGTGGATGATGCGCGTTGACAAATCGGGTGACGTCGACGTGGAGCAGGGTAATTGATGTCGAATGCGCGGTCGCAGTTGTATCGGATGTATCCTCGGCGGATGATCAAAAGGCAGAGAAGTTAAAATTCAGAAAGAAGACGATCGGAAAGACGCACAACAGCCCAGAGGGATGGATTCCAAGGCGTGTGGGGTTGGGATGTAGTCAGGCTTCCGCGAGAGTCGGAGAAAGGTCCAAGGAGGAGCCGCCGCAAGTCTCCGAGACGGGGACGCGGGCGTGGAGCAAAGCAGAGCCTCAGGCAAAACCCCGGATGGGGACACGGACCACCATGCTGGTACAGTGTACAAACGGTACGTACTCCAGCATCCCAAAAGGTGAATATCAGACCTTCAGATATTCTTCAAATTTGTCCAAATAGTGAATTAGAGGCTCAAGCAAACAGGGTGTAGAGTTTTTGGTTGTTGTCCTTGAATATTTATGTGGCTTAAACAAGATTTAAACTCACTGGAACACCTCTACCCTCATACTTAAGTCATGAGGAATTATTCTGCTCTTTTCTTTCACTTATTGTTCATATCAATGAGAAATTGAACTAGTTATGCTATCAGGTTTTTCATAGTTTGAGCACCCTTCGATCGAGTAATCTCCAAAGTTGATTTCACATGATAAGGTAGCTTAGGTACAAGGACGAAGAGAGATAGTTTTCAAGTAGAGGTCAAGCTGGCGTGACATACTACGGTGAACACGGCACAATTGATACTTCAGATAAGTCATTGGAGTAATTCACTGTTATAATAATTCATCTCGCGCCGCAACGGTTGATTACCTATCTGCTCATGAAAACGTTACATGATATCTCGTGGTATATACCAATCCAATAAAAACACACACATTTCATACCCGTCCCATCCTCCCATGCCATCAAATTCTCCTTATTGGAAGTCTACGTTTATACAGTGGAGAGAGTATTTACTCCTTGCCCTGAACACGGCGGGCCCAGTCGTCATGGACCCGCATGCCGTCAACGACGACAACTCCCCGGCCACGCCCAACGCGGTCCGATCGCTGCCACCACTTTTCTTCCTTGCCAGGCCTCTCTGCCTCTGACTCGCTATCAGCGAGGCCACCACCACCACCCTCGGCACCCACGACAAGAATGATGTCGTGGCGCAGCCAAGTCTGGAGGTTGGAAACCATGGCTCCGTTATCACCTGCCAGAGACTCCTGAAGGTAGATGATCTCGGGCTGCAGGTGGCGGAGGATATGCGTGTGCCCATTGGCCGTGGTGAAAGGCATCACCATGGTCTCCTTTTCAACCAAAGCCAATGCCTGGGAGTAAACGGCATTGAAGGCTGGGTTTGCAGGCGATGGATTCATCAGAGGACTCTTGGATGACTCTTCACCAGGCGTCTGGGCTTGATGGTGCTCAATGTTAGAGAAGGACGAGCTCAACGACGGTGGCGGAAGGTTACTGGTAGATTCGCCCGCCGTGTCTTTCAGACCCGGCGCATAAATCAAAACAAAGAGCTTGACATCGTTGAAGTTGGTGTAGCGCGGGATGTGCGACAAGATGGACTACAGGAGTGTTAGCGCGGCGCTTCGGAAGTCATGCCAAGGAGGGGAGAGAGGGGCTTACGGCGTGTTCATGGAATCCATCTTCGTCAAAGTCGTCACCGTGGCTATCCGCAGATACTACAATGGCAACAGTCCTACGTCGTTTGCTGGGGTCTCTGGGCCCGGAAGATCGTTCTTTTCTGGCATCCGCTTCTTCGGACCATGTCTCATGGTCAGCGTACGCGTTCTTGTCCTCTTCCCTGATGGCGGCCAAAGCCCTACCGGCTGCAGCGCCGGCGGCGGCGAAACCAGCAGTTACCGTCTTCCCGGCTGCGTCAAGGAACTGCTGGGGGCTGGGTGTGCGCCTCAATGCGCCAGACATCCTCGCTCCCAATCCATCCCCAGATGCATCTCGGGGCCCCTCGGCCGTGCCGTATGTTTCGGTTCCGACGTTGCTGGGCGGAGGTTTGGGTCCTCTTGAAGTGCCGTACGCAGGATTGTCGCCATAGTTTGCATTGTCGTAGTCGAGGTCGGGGTATTGCTCGTTCTCGGGCGTGTCATCCTCATCTTTGCGCTGACTCCATACCCACGCTGCGAGACCGACTGTCGCAACAGTCACAGTGACCGCAAGCGGTACCCAATGGCTCCAAACCCCTCGCCTCCGAGAATTCTGATCGTTGGGCCACGACATTTAGTTGGATGCAACCATTGCACTTAGGCACGTAGCCTAGGTATTATAGATATGGGTTTGCGTTGATATACTCGAGCTTGTCGAGCTTCGTCAACCGATTCGGGCGGTCGCGTGGGCGGTTGGGCTGACTTTGTCTGTGAATTCGCCAATGGTATCGCAATCGCCAATGTTGCGTCGTGATCCGGCTCTTAATGTTGTCAAGAGACAGGAAATCGCAAATGGGGGGGTGGGCTATAGATCACCCACTTGTCGCGAGCTCGGGTGGCTGGTCTTGGGGGAACATCAACATGGGGGGAATTGGATGGGCAAGGAGCTAAGCCCCAGGGGATCCCGAGGTTGGCCGTGTTGCCATTGGTTGCCGGGCCAAAATCTCTCACCTTGGCTGACAGGCGGGAAGGCAGGTGAGCGGCCGGACCGAGGATGTGCCGACAATCACGTGCATCATCCCACCTTGATGCGCGACGTCAATAGTGGGTCCCTGTCAATCGATTAGCGTCGCGGGTCGTTTTTTGGCGATGACTCCTTCAGCGCGCATACAAAAATATCCAAGAAAAGGGTTATTGAACCGGCATTGGTGTGGGCAACACAGAACCTAAGCTTCGACTAGGCCCAGGACGATAAATTGTCGTATCGTACATCTCGCCAGCCCGGTATCTACGCTCTCGCACCCCGGCGTCTCTCGCTGCAGCCACTTGTCGCAAACGGAATACCCCGCCAAAATCACCTCGAGATGCCCCACGCTGTGTCGATGCCCTCACCAGGGCTCCAAGCCTTGGTCCTTTGCGGCCCGGGATCTTCATTTCCGACTTTCACTTCGAATCCCGATGAGAACCCCAAGGCACTCTTGCCCATCGCAAACAGGCCTATGGTCTGGTATCCCGTCGATTTCTGCTATCGTATGGGCATCACAAGTAAGTGCCTGGTCTGCAGTCATTGGTGGCTCAATATGGGCACCCACAGGAAACATTGGCGATGGAATTGATGAGGCTGACTATCCCAGACATTACTCTTATCTGCCCGGCATCTGCAGAAGCAGCAATCACAACTGCCCTGAACACCAACCCTTATTTGACAGGACTTCCCCTGCCTAGACCAGACATCCTCGCGCCCAAGGATCTGGATCAAACTACAGGCACGGCTGAGATTCTACGCCTGCCTGAGGTCAAGGAACTCGTCAAGTCAGACTTTGTCGTTCTTCCCTGCGACCTCATCTGCGAGGTTGCCGGCGAGAAGCTTCTACAGGCATGGATGGTCAAGGGCGCAAGCATGTCAGACCTCCTGAGCGCCGCAAAGTTTTCAGGAAACAAACAGAGCCCCTTCAGCGGCGGCTTGGGCGTTTGGTACGAGACGAAGACAGCAACCCCGGTAAAAGGCGAGGAGACAGACTTCATCGCCGTAACACCGTCCACTCCCTCCGCCGTCGCCCCCCCTAAGGGATCTTTACTCCCTAACCTGTCCAACCTGGTCACGTCCATACCCACAGACTCGTTGAAGGATGCCATGGAGACGCGGAGAGGCTTTGCTGTCCGCCATGGCCTTCTGCGGAGTCATCCTCGAATGAAAATGCTCACGACGCACAGAGATGCGCATTTGTACATTCTACCGAGATGGATCATGGACTTTGTTGAAAAGAATGACCGCTTGGAAAATATTGGCGAAGATGTCATTGGCTGGTGGGCCAAGGCAACCTGGCAAAAAGGCCTTGCGGAAAAGCTTCAACTGGACGAGGTTCTGCGTAAGGAAGACGCAGACGACAGTGACGACGACAGTTCACTGCAGGAGAGCACCTCGTCGCCTCAAGATGACGACCCTGAAGAGCTGCGACCTAGTAGAGGTCTCGACGACAACGCTTTCGATGGAAACGACTTTGACGGCACAAATTCCCAGGGAGCGCTTAAGGTGCCTCCGATTATCGCCTACGTACATCCTTCTGGAGCCGATGCACCGATGATACGCCGCGTGGACACAGCTCAACTACTCCTGAACGTATCACTACAGCTTGCCAAGGTCCCCTCTGTGGAGGAGACTGGCAGCGAGGCAGCATCCCCTTTCGCACACGCCAAGAAGGTGGCATATCCGGAGGGTGTCAAGGGCCGAACTACAATCACAAAGGCCGACAGCTTGGTCGGAGAGAACGTCACAGTAGAAGAAAAGGTGTCCGTCAAAGAGTCCGTCGTCGGAGCCGGCTGTCAGCTCAATGAGGGTGCCAAATTGCTGCAGTGCCTGTTGATGGAAGGCGCCGTGGTGGGCAAGAACTGCAAGCTTACGAGATGCATTCTTGGCAAGCGTTGTGTCATTGGGGATAATTCAGTCCTGACAAACGTCGAGGTTCAGGAGAACTTGCTTGTTGAGGCCAGGAGTAAGTCTGATCCATGTCCCACATAATACGTAATGATAGCTAACACTGCTCTAGCTGAGGAGAAGGACACGAAACTCATGAGTTCCGATGGCTTGGAGGCCACCGAAGAGGAGATGCAGGGAGTGCTGGAAGACATGGACAACGAGATCATGGCCCAGAACGAGGAGGCAGTGGAATAGACTTCAGGCATTTGTTCGCCGATTATGCTTCGCTGCAATTCTGGACCGAACCCCTTTGCTGAATTTTCTCCCGTGATTCATCATATTTTACCCTGCGCTGACCTTGGAGCCACTCTAGAATATCACATACGCTACCCGGAAGAGCTGATAGTATTGGAACCGAGAACTTTGTACTAGCCACCATGAAGGATGAGCCAATGTTCACTAGGCCGAACCCGCGGATGAGGAACGGACGAGGTGGACAACTGCCGGCAATGCGGGATCCCCGATAAAGTCCGGAGGCGAAACGACGAACAATCAGCACTCGAGGGCAATCCGACGTCTTAGTCGAACTCTACTTCAGGTCCGGTGGGAACGGGGGATCCATCAGATACCTCGGGGAAGCTGGACAGCAATCCGGTAGACATAGAGCAGAATCGCGACGGCGGGCTGGAAGAGCAAAGCTACCGCGGAACCTACGGGAGCCAAAAACCGCTCTCACGCGTAATGAACGAAGTGGAACCTCGCCCGCCTGGTCCACGACAATGGCATTCCTGAAGCTCGTGTAAGCCCCCCAAAAGCTCTAGCCAGCTCGTCAGGGGCGATTGTCTTGGAAGCTTCTGGCTCGATTGGGAATTCCTGAGGGGGTCGAGGGGCATTCTAGTAGGTCTTGTTCAGCAAGCAGAGAGGCGAAAGAGGCTTTTGTAGTGGCCTGACTGCAGTAGCACGTGTAAACTAGGGAGCTGGTGAGCCTTTCCAAAAGGCACGAAGTGGAACGACTTTCTCGTGGGACACGATGGGACATCAGACGAAGGTTGCCAATAGCTTACAGAAACTACGGAAGAGCGTCCGAAAACCCCTCAATCGGAACGGTCCAAGGTAATGGTTTCATCCCCAGAGTTTCCTCTCTCCTCCCGGAAAGCTGCAGAAGAGGGCGCAATCCCGAAGAAACCTTCCCCCTTGATCTCCTAACGCCGGGCATGGTGGCCGAGCTATTTGCCCATAACCTCTTTCCTACGATGTACGCCAGGGGCAAGAGACATCCACACACACACTCACACGCAGAGAGAGAGAGAGCGCGACGAGAGTGAGAGATGGACTCCGGGGAGGGCCTCTGTAGAATCAGCCCATCTGCCAGGGGCAAACTGACTCTGCAAGGATCACCAATATTGGGGCCACTCGAGAGGCCCGAGGAGAGACATTCAGCAGATGATGCTACGGTCTAAGCGGGCCTAGCGCGTACCTCGATGTCGATATCGGGAATTTGTCCTACTGCTGATGGTACTTTGAGAAAGTGACAGGTCACAAAAACCCTCGGAACATTGTCATTTGCTCGTCCCAAGTTGGTGGGATAGGCACTTCGCCGAACAAACCTACCTGGCCTTGTCCCCGAATGCTCAAGGGGGGTCGAAGATGTGGGCAACGATGTGGGCAGCAGTCCATTGAGTGTGAGAGAGTGAGGGGCCAAGGGCAGCGATGATGGGACTCTAGTGTAGCATCTGCATCGCAAGTGCCTTGTGGTAGTACAGAGATCGATTTTGAGTCCAGGCTAGCGGGGTTCAAGCCGAACCAGACGACGGCGGCGGCGGGCGAATGTGGGCAAAAAAGAGGGGTCCAGGGCAAGAGAGACTTGATAGTGACGGAGAGAGATAGAGCTAGAATGTCCATAGAGACAGAAAGAGGGTGGACGAGCGAGACCGACGGCCCAGCTCCGGCCAGGAACGCGGGTTACGCGGGCCACGATGGTGAGACTCCAAAACTGCGTCGCTCGCGCGAGAGTTGTTGCGTTCCTCGTGGGAAGTCGTGGCAAAGCAGAGACTTCTTTTCCTTTCTCTTGCCTTATTTTGGAGTTTGGAAACAATGGGAGAAACCTGCCCACGCGTCATGATTGGGGGCGGGCGTTTCTCACACATAACAAGGAAAGGGGGCCAACGTGAGCATTCCTCTCGCGTGTGCCAAGAACAAGAAAAGTAAATAAAATTTTGCTGCGTAGATGTATGGGTGCGTGTGTGTGGGTGAGGTTTGAAGCCTCACACAAGACTTCTCTCTCTTGCAAGGCCAACGCCAACGCCAAAAAAAAAAAAAAAAAAAAAAAAAAAAAAAAGACAGGTCTCGTTTGACACGCGTTGTGGGAACTCGACTGCGTCTACGAGACTACGAGGAGAGCAAAAAAGAGGAGCATCTTAGACCACCGAGGCGGCGAAAGCCGCAGAGAGACAGAGACAGATAGACCTTGTGGAAAGTCAATTCGTTTGAACCGGTAGTCTTGTGTCACTTTTTCCTGTCTCCTCCTCTCTGTCCCATTCTCTCTTGTGTGGTGGACTAACGGCCGAAGGTTGCTAGACTGCCCTTTTTCTCCTTGGCCCGCCGCCTGGTTCAAGGGACACGAAACATGGGCCACTAACGTTGGAGGCGCGGATGGGGTCTTTTTAATCATGGAATCTGAGAAAAAAGAAGAGAGAGAGACTGAGAGATGTCGGTGGCACCTGGAGACACCTGGAGCTGGAACTTCAAGGAAGGAGGCTTATTGATGTGTGTGGCCGACTAAGAGCCGCGCGGGGGAACTAACACAAGCGTACGGATACTGGATAGAGATGTCGATGATGCGAATCGAGTTAGACGTAATGGTAGCACTGGGATAGTCACGGGCTGAACGGCGTGCGGGATGGGAAATCCGAAAGAGAGAGAGGTGAGCGAGAAAGAGGTGAGAAGGAAAGAGTACGATGAGCATGGCATGGGGGGAGGGAAGCGGGACATGGGCTACCATGTTCACCTGAGCGACAGTCTCGGGTTCGGCAGCTTGACGTCGATCACGGATGTGGGCGAACTGACTGCAGCTCGACAGGGGGGATGGGGGAGGCCAAAGTGGGTAAATAGTGACAGATTCTCTTTGCTTGGCGATATCCATACGGGATATTCAGCATTTAGCATATGCGATGCGTGCTGGGAGAGAACAGGATTTGCCCATCCTCCATCCTCGCCGGCCGGCTACTGGAACTGGCCAGGCACACTCCATATGGAGACACTACGGATACCTATCCACAAAGGATTTGACGACCGAGAAAAGAGACACACGGACGAGACGGCAGGCGCACGGATTCTCGGGTGCCTGAGTTGAACTTGGATGGGGGATGGGGGCGCGCGAGGCTGTTCAGCGGGGATCCCTTCGGACGGCGGCGCGCCAAGTAGCGCGTGTTGTTTAGACGCGATTTCTTATTTTGCTAACGCTGAGCAGATGCCGACGACGCTAGCAGTTTCTGATAGTTTGCCTGCCCTTTGGCTCGTGGCTGGTCAACATGGACGATGTTTTGAAGGGGTCCTTCGTCTGATTTCTATTTCGCGTTTCTCTGTCTCTTGAACCAGTCTGTATCAGTATGGCGTCCGTCCTGGCGTTCCCGGGTCTAAGGACCGGAGGGAAGCCTCAAGCATCGGAGACTAAGGTTGGCCGACAGGTTATGGCTCGTCCCAGGAATCGGAGGACTTGCAGCAAGCGTGCAGCAGCGCCGGGGACCAGCCCAGGCAGAAAGACTGAAGGACGTCTAGACAGACGTAGACAGCGGCACAGCCAGCCCCAGGCGGCGAGCCGGCGAGCCACCACAGACGGGAGTTCTAAGTTGTTGATAGGCTAGAGAGGGGTGGCGTAGAGCATCTCGCCGGGTCCCTTAGGGCGTGGGCAAGATGAGAATGATGGTCGACATGGGTCCTGGATGAGAGAAAGAGACATAGATACTCCGTACACTGAACAAGAGAGAGAGAGAGAGAGAATATGGTGACGATGAATATGATGGAGAGGGGGTGTGGATGATGGGTGTGGGTTGGTTACTGATGAGCCGCCCTGCCCTTGTCAATGATCTTTGGGGGTCTAAACATGGATGGTCAATGGTGTCTGAATCCATCCCCGCTTTTCCTTTCAAGCGTGCTGCGTGCCTTGATCGCAGCCCTTGTTCATGGCTTTATGGGAAGGGCTGTCCAGGGTCCCCGTCATCTTCCCATTGTGTCGAGGCTTATGAATGGGGGAAGACTTGGGACTCGGCAAGAGGGGAGGGCGTGAGTGAAGGATGGATGAGATGACATAAGCACTCAGTCACTCACACAATACCGCTTCAAAGGCTCTCTCTCACATGAGCTGGGAACCAATGAGGTGAGGGATCAACGGCAGGCATCTCGTCGATGAGTCTTGTCAATTGGCCGATCTGGTTGGTGGGCAGGCGGCAGGCCCATGTTCTGCCCGTTTTTCCCGTCGTGTGTGCGTGTTTCTGCCATTCTCCCGCCCATTCGCCAATTCAATCACCCTCCATCTTCCTGTCGCTCACTCTCTCACTCACACTACCTTTACGACACAGTGAGAGTGAGAGTGAGAGAGAGAGGCAGCAACACCGAAAGAGACGCTATCAAATCTCACATTGCCCAATGTTCAGCCCGTCGTTAACTTACGGTGCGGTCCTGACTCAAGCGACCCGAGTCGGACGATAACTTTCCATCGCTCCATCATTTTTCCCACCTTCTCCCTTCTCAACCTTTTCGCGGCTTGCCGTCTATCTCTTGCCAATGGCCTCTTTGCCTTGGTGCGCTTCTTCTCACACAACATTCCGGTCATTCTTACTCGTTTTGGTCCTCTCGCAGTTCTAGTCCCCTCTGGCTTGGAGTCCGTCTCCTTCAGAATCGCTTCATCTTTGCTTTTTGCACATCTCTCATCTGCATCGTCCCTGTTTCAGCGCCTCTTTTCCTCTCACCCACCACTATTTTCCATCATAACAGTGAGAGAGTACCTGGTAGGAAAGAGGTTGAGACCAACTAGCCATGCCGTACCAAGTCAAAATGTGCATGCATACCTTACGTCAGGTAAATCTTCTGCCAGTTTCACTGTGCGAGCTCCGTGTCAAGATGGCATGCGGACTTGACCGGGGTCCGCAGCGCCGGACTACTGGGTTTTTGCTTTTCTTACCTTTCTCTTCTTCCTTCGCGTCCTGCGGCCTGCTCTTCAGGCCTTCGTCACTTTTCACATTTCCTGTACTGTGTCTCAACTGCATCATACATCCTCCGTCGTCAGGAAGAGAGTGAGGAAGAGAGCCGATTGTTGCCCAAAGGTAGAAGAGCTTGCATCAGGGGGGGTAGAGGGGCGGCCTGTGCCTGGTGTCTCACACCACAGCTGGCCAAATTCTCGGCCAGTGAGTGTCGTACGTATCGAGTTATCAGTTCTTCCATTCCTTGACAGGCGTGTCTCCATTCCCCCAGGGTTACACACATTCAAACATACAGCCAGATGCTGAGAGACATACACGGCAGCCAACTACGTCTGGGCATCTCCACTCTTCCTCTCTCACTCTCGCGGCCTTCACACAGACAAACGCTTCCTCTTGTCTTCTCTGGAACCCCACCACCACCACCACCACCACTACCACTGCAGCTGTCTGTCCCGCTCGCCATGGGCTGCTTCCTGCCGCGGTGTCATGTACCTTTGATAGCTAGCCAGCTAGCAAGAGAAAAACCGGAGACGCGTTCTTGCTCTCACGTCTGACAATGGAGTCTTTCCGGCCTCCCTGCTTCTTTCCGACCTCACCAGTGGAAGTCTACCGGTTGTCTTGCAATGCTCGGACGTCCGCATCTGGAGATGGATACAGAGAAAGATAGAGCCATGTAGCCATGTCTCCGACCCAAGATTCAAGAGCGTGTGGGTTGCCAACATCCACCCTACCCCCCCTTGTCGTCCATCATCCTCACCCTTCACCAACCCGCGATCCTTGAATAAGCAGAAGCGGTTCATGCAGGTACTCTTTCTTCTTCGTCGAATCTGCCCCCGGTTGGTTCTCCGAGTCTCCAGCTGCCTGGCAGCAGTTCCTCCGTGGTCGACCCTGGTCAAAGTTGACTCGATCACTATGAATCCCCCCCCCAAGGACCAGGGTAATCCACACAAACTGCAACCTAAGATAGAGTAGGATTTGGTTGTCTGGGCTTGACGAATGGGTACTTTGATCATGATGTATCCGTATCCCAGCAGCCCCAAACTTGGACACGGCTGTGTACCCTGCCAGTTGCTCCAGATTTGGACTCTTTGCTTTCTCAACTCAGAACCCATGCAGACAGGCATAGCCCTGAGCCTGTCCTTCTAGCACTCTTTCACTCTCTCGCCTGCCATGCCGGAATCAAGAATCGTAGGCGACAAGAGAGCAACTGGCTCGAGCTTCTTTCTGGATCAACAGCTAAAGCCGCCCAGAGCACCGTACCTGGTTCAGCTTATCCATTGATCTGACACCTATATGTACGTGGGTCTGCGTTCATGGACCGGGCGATCGTCTCATTGTTTCTCAGGGACGACGAAACATACTGGACTGGACCCTCTTCTTCCCGCCGCGAGAAACACTCTTCTGCTCTAGACCCTCACCATCCTCTTGCCCGTCCATAGATCGGTGGATCCCGCGAAGGAGATTAGAGCCTCTCTCTCTCTCTCTGTCTCTGCCCTCCCCTCCTCCCCCACCACCACCACCATCACGTCTTCAAACTCCACGCCCATTCTTCCCACGCCTACACCCCCCGGCTGGGTTCTCGCAGCTCTCCCTCCCACGCTCCACTCCACCTCCACTATCACGTACTCAGACCTCGATACATTCCTATCTGGGGCTCTCTGTCTCTCCCAGCTGGTGTATTGATGACACTATTTTCCCATTTTGTGAGAATATACCTGTCCATCACTCTTTAGGGGCGTCATCTTCATCTCCGCCCCCCTCCGTCCCACGATATAATACTGCCTCGACTGCTCGTCTGTGGAACGTTTCCATTATCCCATCATTCTTCATCTTACTTTTAACCGGACAACTCGCTCCCTCTTCAGAAACGAATTCACCCCCTCTCTCGAACAACAGCGAGTAAGCAACAACAATCAACAACACTCTCACCTCACACAATGATGTCGCACTCGCACCTCTGGCAACAGGAGCAGGACCACTCCATTGAGGGAATCATGGAGTCCTTTGGTGGTCCCGAGACCAGCTTTAGCTTTGACGGTTCCATGAGCTGTGGGACTACAACACCAAGCTTCTCTGCCGCATCCTCTGTCTACGACCCCAACGGCCCCTTCACTCCTCGCTCTGGCCGCTCAACACCTCACGATCACAGCCAGTCCAGCATTGACTTCGACTCCTCCTTCTCCTCCCACAGCTCCTTCTCCTTCGACCATGCCCCATCACAAGATCCCAAGGGCTACTTCCCCAAGCCCGATGAGGTGAAGATCCAGATGCCCATGCAGTATGCCCCAACACATGTCACTCCCTCAAGGAGGCAGAGTGCAGGCTATGGCATGGAGCATCTCGACTACAACACAATGCTTCACGTAACCCTCAACTCCCACTGCATGCCCGGCATGTCCTCGCCTCACCCTCACCAGCAGCAACACCAGCACCAACAACATCACCACCACCACACAGAGCAATACTCGCTCCACCCGGAGCTGAGCTCATCACCCTTCGTGATGCCGACCCCTCACCGCGGCCTCCCGAGCTCCACGCCCAGCAACGCCCACATCTGGTCCTGCAGCAGCGAGAGCCCCATCATGATGTTCGGCAACGAGGCCACACCCTCAACGCCGCCCCTTCAGGCCATGCACGGCGGCAACAGCAGCGCCGTCAAGCGCGAGACCACAGACTCCCCCATCCCGCGCCTCACTCCACCCTCCGCGGCCGCCTATCACCACCGCCAGGACCCCAGGCGCAAGCTCTTCGCCGAGGTCCAGCGCAAGACCCTCGCTCTCCAGAAGAACCAGAATGACATGGAGGCCCTGCGACAACTGAGGTCGATCCAGGTCAACCAGGACGGCTCCGTCCTCGAGTGTGGCTCAATGAAGGTCCGTCACGTGGCGCCCAGGCGGGAGCGGTGCACATATCCCGACTGCACCAAGACTTTCAAGAGAAAGGAGCATCTCAAGCGACACTTCAAGGCGTAGGTTCCTCATCACTTGCAGCTTACACTTTCAACGGTTAACTAACACATCTTGTCTAGCACCCACGAGAAGGAAGTTGAGCTCTACACGTGCCCTGCAACAAATTGCAACCACGTGTTCAAGGAGCGCCGCGACAACTTCGTCTCCCATCTCCTCCTTCACAAGCAGGGCAAAAGCAGCAGGACGCCGTACAACGAAAAGGCCGCCAAGCTCTACGACGAGATGTGCCTGCAGAGCAAGAGCCGCAAGCGCGTCAAGACGGGCACCAGCTCAAGCCCCAGCAGTAGCGGCAGCAACAAGAACTGAGATGAGCCTTATTTGCCCATCTCACCTCTCTCGGCTGCTGCTGCTGCTGGAGTGAGACACCTCGAACCAGGGTGTTTACAGGACGTTTTTCTGGGGGCACTGGAGACTCGAGAGCCACTCCGGCCGAGAAAGAGGGGCAGAAGAAACGCCAAGTCGGGGATTTCCCATGGCGATAGGCTGCGTCGTCTGTTCCAAGACAATTCCCAGCATCGCACGCCACTTGTCTGCATGTCACTTCATCCTTGCAACATGCTGCAACAAACACAAATCTTTTCAACTTTCCAACCTGTAATAATTCTGTTGCACGAAAAATCACCCTTTTTTTGGGCGTACATTTGGCAAACCATTTGGGTGTACTTTTTGTCACTTTTGTTTCTACTTTACTTGTTTCTCTATTGTATGGATCAACCGGGAGAGGATGCTTTTGCTTATCAGAGAGACACTTGGAGCCTGCCTTACTGGAGGTTGTCAACATCCAGCAACCCGTCCTGCGCAACGACGTTACATGCATTTTTTTACGATTGCCGCGGAGAAATATCAACCCACACACACACACACACACACACACACACACACACACACACACTACAACCTATACACAAAAAACTCAAAAGATTTACATATATTCTTAACGATTAAAAAGACATCAAAAACGAAGTAGTATGAGTACCAACAAAAAATCCGGCGGGAGCGGTGGGGGAGAAATGGAGGATACCAAAGGGAGGATCCTGTCTCTGGCGCGAAAACTAGCAGTAGGGGATATCGGGAGGAGGCCAACTTTGTCTTACAACGGGGTTCAAACGGCGAAAAATGGGACTTGGAGGGGACTACTACTACTCTGTACTGAATAACACGGTTAAACACACTTGATTGGTTTGCGCAAGGATGAAAGAGATCACACATTGTTTCTACGATTAGATTGTCACACTACTATCATCTGTGAGAGAAAAAAGAAGATGGTTGAAAGAAACTCGATATTTCCCCCGGAGCGGGTCCATTGTCAGTGAAATCCATGGCACTTAACAGACTATTGTTGATACGAAGAAACAAAAAAAGCTGAAGTCCGAGAGCGACGCAGAGTAGGTAGGTGACAAGGTGTCAGCCGAAGTTCTATCACATCTCGTCTGCATGGCGTAGACTTGACAGGTTGTTGGGGAATCTCACCCCTTCAGCTACGTCTTGCATCTCCCCAATCTAGACTCAAAGGAGACAATTTTGCCCGTCAGAATCTTGGTACTGATGCATGCTACTGTAGGTGATATCTGATTTGGTTGAATGCTTGATCCTTCTTTCCCCCCGATCTGGTAGGATCATTTTCCTGGTGGTAAAAGTGGTCAACGCGTAACTATTGTAACAGCGTTGCAATCATCAAACTGACAACGACAACCTTCAGCTGAGGTGCCCTCTCGTCCCATTCTCGTCTCGGTAGGTGAGCTTGACGATCACCGTCCGGGCCACCAAGGATCCCCACTTCCAAACGCGCGTGTGTGGTCGAGGTTGCGCGGGTGGACCAGGGATCAAGAGCAAGGCACGGCCACAGCGAAGGCATGCTTGTCTCAGATTTTGGCGAAGTTCCTCTCTGTTGCGAGACTACTAGGTACCACCACTACTCTCTCTTGCTCAATCCGCCAAGGAAAACGTCAACAGAGGTGAGGGTAGGGGTCGGGATGGGGACGAACGTGCTTGATAGCTTTCCTGTCCCATGTCCATGTCCATGTCCATGTCCATGTCCATGTCCAGGGCCAGGGTCCAGGTGAACTCTCTTTCTTCCTTGTTGCCCTCTCAGGCTCTTCTCACGAGTCGCCCCATCATGACCTGGACTCATGGACGATCCGGGACGCGAGTCGAGAGCCGGAGCGGGCGGGGAGGAGAGGGGCAAACGGCGCGGTTCAGGCCGTCAGGGTTTTGGGGATATTCTGGCTAGATAGAGAGACTACGGATACTGGTCTACGGTTAGTTCATCGGCGTTGTGGTTAGTTCAACCGTAGTTCGAAATGCCCCATTCTACAGGCAAGCTTCCGTCATCAGGATTACGTCCCGCGCGAATCGGGATGATTGACGGGATCACGAAATAGGGTTGGTGGGAAAGCAGGGGCAAGAGGTTTACGAAAGTACCCATAACACTCGGTCCTGTGGTACAATGGCTCTGGAATCTAGGGGCCCCTTGGTAGGTTCGAGAGGGCGACGAACCGATGCAAATGATGGAACGGGCAGGGGTAGATGATCAGAGGCAGGGGGGCCAATCGACCAGGGGCGAAGGGGAGAGAGAAAGAGGAGAGGAGGAGAAGAGAGCAGGCTGACAGGGTCAAGAGCCGATGCCCGATGGGGCAGAAAAAAGGCTGGAGTTGGTGGTTTGGAGGCAGGCAAGGCAGGCCACCCCGGACAAAGAGACTACTGTAGCCTGTTAGGTAGTAGTAGCCAGAGTGCCTGGACGACGTGACATTAGACAGCCTGACAGGAGACTCCAAAGTGTAACCTCAGACGAGAGAAATCTCCGTCTGGCCTGTTTTGTTTCGAAACGTTGCCAGTCGTGGGAGCCTCGTGGTTGGTCGGGAAAGGCGGCCTGCCGTGTAACTATTCCCATGTGGTATTTTTCTTCCCTACGTGATGGAGATCGCTTTGATTGGCGATGAAAAGAGAGACGGGCCGAAGGCGCCTGCATGGCGATGAAAGACAAAAGCAACAAATTGAAATCAGGAACGCGGTGCTTCTGCTGTGCACGACTGCAAGAGAGCGAGGAAGTGGTATGGGGAATACCACAACTCAATCTCAGAGAGTGAGACGAGACTGAACACTGCTTTCTCAGTATTACGGGCGCAAAGCGTGTTTGATTAAGCAGTGCTGCAGTTGAACCACACAGACACACACACACACACACACACACACACACACACACACACACACACCCCCCGGAAATGCCTAGACCTAGGTGACCTTGTCCGAACGGCCGTTCCGGTGCAACACTGGTCGAGAGATGAGATGAGTCGAGGTTCGGGCTGATGGATGGGCAGCTGGGATTCCCAGGTCCAGATTGGTAGGGTGGTAGCGCATCCAGGCAGCCCAGTCAGGCTGGCCTGAGCGTCGGCATTCCGAGCCTGCGGCGACCCTGTCAAACCGTCGATCTTGACCATATTCTCGGGATATGGCAGGGGGGGTTCGTCACCCAGCGCTGTCGTCGTTCGGTGTCGTCGTCGTCGTCGTACAGGGAACCCTGCCAGGAGAGGTCTGGCGCTGCTGCTCCT